GTCCAGTTTATCACATTGTAACTGTGCGTCACGTGTACGTCACTAGTGCGTCACCTATTATAGGGCACGGGGTTAACATCAAAGGAGGTTCAACGATGGATGAACGATGCTCCATCTTTGACTACGAAGTTCTCTAACAATGTCGACTAGCAATTAACATTGTAATAGTTCAATTAACGAGTACACGTCTGGCGCACAGCATTCATTTACATGTTTATTAACTAATTAAAAGCGTTTCTGGGTTGAATAGATCGGGGAAAATTGTATAATTTAGTGTCGAGCGGATTAACGCCGGGGCTAACGAGCATGACCGCCTTGTGCCGATTTGGCCTGTTGCAATCGAGTTTTCGAAACGATTTCCCGATCGTGATTCGCGACATCATCTACTCTTGACCGGATACGATTGCGCTTTGTTCGCAGCGATTCGCGCGCTGATACGAAGCTGGAAAGTTTACCGAGGTGATGGTCGAAAGGTGAATCGTGAAAATCCGGCTGTTGCTTTAGCTTTCGTTTAATTAATAATCTTTTGGGAAACGTGTAGAAAAGCTAACGTGAATCAACTCGATGGAACTAATTGAACGAATTGATATTTCAAAACCAGCTGTCACTTTGACTGCAATAAGAAAGAATAGTTCGTTAATTTTCAATCACGCGTGCACATTTCATGTTCGTTGCACAATTTACGTCTATTTTAGCAGCGACCATATCGCTGCTACCGGCCAACTCTTTTTACCAAAAGGAGAAAAGGAACACTGTTCCAATAGTGATCGAAACATTAACATTAAACTCAGCCGTACGTGTACAGAATGTAGTCCTATTACGTTTAACTCCTCAAGACATCAAGTCATCGAACGACGAAAATGGCGAACGACATAATCGACCGAGTTTCTATCAGACTCCAAAAACCATCGAAATACTAGACATTTCTTTCTTCGATTGAGAGATATTATCAATCAGAATTCAGTGTATTTGTGAATTTTGTACAATTATCCTTGAAGACTCCTGTTTTTTTCCACAGTCCTTCGAGGCCATGATTTCACGAGCATTATATCGCTGGTAAAATGTCTCATTCTTATTCCAACCATGATCGTGTCACCCGTTCCTGTAATTGGGTTACGAGAACGTTCACGAAAACGCCACCTAGATGTACTCTTTGTCGCCGAAGCAACTTCCTGTACGAAACATTGCTTTGTACTTCGAGGAACTGCGCTGACCTTCCGGTCGATGATTACATATCGAGTGAAACGTAAGGCGTTTATCTATTCCGTGGTTTTGTCGTGAAAAAGGAAAACACCGTCTAGTGTCCACTTAACGCTTCTTGTTCTCTTTCACCCGAGGAATCCTGGTGAAATTCCCGCTCGCGGAAAGCGAGAGCTACTTGTAAATGTCGGAAACCCGGCAATGTTGCGTTGCACGTGAAGTAGCAAAAAGTTGATGCGAATGATTTACGATTTCTTACGCGGATTTGAGATTATTTGCTGGTTATGAATTTTAGTGATAAAAGGAACTTTGCGGTTTTGTAATAGCGATGTGTTATTGTGTCTTGTATTGCTTCACGTTAAATTACTTCGCGTTTTACTTCCACGCGTTTTATTTCCTCGCACTGTATTTCCACGCGCTGTATTTCTACGCACTGTACTTCCACGCGTCATAGTTTCACGCGTAGTACTTCTACGCGCCATAATTCCAAGCGTAGTATTTCCACACGTCATAGTTCCATGCGTAGTACTTCCACGCATCATATTTCCACGCGTAGTATTTCCACGCATCATAGTTCCACGCGTAGTACTTCCACGCGCCATATTTCCACGCGTGATGCTTCCACGCGCTATAATTCCAAGCGTAGTATTTCCACACGTCATAGTTCCACGCGTAGTACTTCCACGCATCATATTTCCACGCGTAGTATTTCCACGCATCATAGTTCCACGCGTAGTACTTCCACGCGTCATATTTCCACGCGCAGTACTTCCACGCATCATATTTCCACGCGTAGTACTTCCACGCGCCATAGTTCCATGCATAGTACCTCTCCGCGCCATAGGTCCATGTGTAGTACTTCCATACCCCATATATTTCCACACGTAGTAATACCACGCGCCATAGTTCCATGCATTGTGGCTCCACACACTGTACTTTCACGCTCTACACTTCCACGCGCTGTACTTTTCTACGTTATATTTCTACGAGCTATATTTCCATGCGCTGTGCTTCCATGTGGTGTACTTCCATGTGCTGTATTCCCACATACCGTACTTCTACCTCTAGTATTCCTATGTGTTGTACTATTACGTATCGAACTTCCATATTGATTTCAAATTCAAAGTGCATCAAAGTAAAGACCCCAAAATTCGACCCTGCAATTCAACCTGAAAGCAATCAAACTTGAAACCCAATAAATTACCACTAAACTAGCAATTGATAAATGACAACTACAACAGTAACCTATTTAATATCGAAAAAGTAAGGCAAGTCCTGGTCATACAGAATATTAATTAATCTCGACATATTCGTTCACGGGTCAAATTATCAGATGATCATCAAAAAATACGTGAATGCGTTTTCCTTGATGGTGACGCTCCGATGACCCTCTTCCCACACGTCCTGTCATAATTGACAACGGCGATCGAGAAAACCGATTATTTGGGTCGATCGAACGGAACTGGAACGTCCCAGCGATTTATTATTAAGCGATCGAAGCTGTGCCGGCAGCTTGATATTTGGAGCATCCGGTTAATTGCGAAAAGGCTCGGTTAAACAGCGTATCGATCGGAATGATCGTAAATTAATTCGAGGATGAAGGTACCGGTGGAGTGGACCGGTCCACTTGTAACAAAATAAGATTTGTTCGGGATCCTTGACACCCCTGTTGATCCAGATGCATCTGCTTACACCTGACATCGATGTGGAAGTTTGACTTGTTAAACCCAGCGAATTAATTTGTTGGGAGTGTTATGACAAATGTTTGATCGAGTTTATTTTGGTGGAATATATTCTGGGTAACTTATTTAAGATTGTACATTGGTAAATAATATAATAATTAATTGGTATGAAAATTACATATGGTATGTTTTCGGTATGTCTTCTCACTTACAAGTGAAGGTAATCGTTTGATTCATTTGATCAATTACGAAACAGCAAGGACACTGTTTTTCGGTGTTCGACCGTCGAATGCTGTACAAGTAGTAATTAAAGATTCAGTTACAGAGAAAGTGTAATAAGTGAAAAAGGACACTCGTGGAATATATTTGTTTCATTTGATGGATTCTTGTATTCAGTCGAGGAAATTATATGGTGAGGCGAAAGGTTCACGCCTACGATAGGCTATCGACAAATTTGGTCCTCGGCACCGAAGTTTGGAGTGCGAGGGCGGGATTATGAAGATTAAAACCGAAAACATGAGACACGATTTGAAACCAACTTACAAGGACCGAACACACCGACGCCCGAATGTTTTCGAGTGTTTCGACCTGCCCATGACTACCTCAGAAAACCGGAATATCCTAACTCAGAATTTCGCCACTTTCCAGTCACCTCGAAACTGCATTCCTAGAACCGATGCAGAACTCGCCGATAAACGTTTCGCAGATCGTTAAATCATTTTTACGGGTTTCTACTTAATTGCGATTCAAGGTTCTCCGGCAGTTTTGCGATCGGTTATCGAGAAAATGGAAAACGCTGAAAGCGGAGGTCAGACTGTCGCATTGGCCTGGTTATCAGCAAACGGAAGGCGCTCGTCGACAGACACGGGCTTGCACGATCGATTGATAACACGAGACACTGCTATCCACTCAGTTCCGACAACGGTAATCGACTTCCCTATAAGTACGTTTCTAATTGCGAAAGTTGCCTAAGAGATTCGCGCCTTCGAATTAATCAGACAGACACCCATTAGACAGATTTCTTGTCCGTTAAATTACTTGCTTCCAGTCACGATAGAAAAATAATTGCTGCCATTAGTCGTCGCGGCTTCAAACTATTTCAATTTCCGCGGTAAGTGTCGATCGGTAAGGCAGGGCGGTGTTTAGAGCGGGTGGCACCAGGCGGCACCACGAGACTAGAAAATCGACTTACCGATTGTTCGCGATCGACATTTAGCTACTTTTCTTCGTATCGTTTATTTATAATTTATTGTTTATGGTGGGAAGAAAAATTAGATCTCTTTTCTTCTTCATCTACAAATTTATAATGGAACGTTAATATGTAGAAGTAAAAATTGGAACAGATTTCATTACCGACGGAATACTTGTCGGTAAAACAGAAAGGATCTATAGATCACAGAAAAATTTTTTAATATGTATATTTTTACAACTGTACTACCTTCTTATTATTACTACTTCTTTCATTGATGTCACCATTACTTTTGATTGATCAAGATCAATTTCATGGTGTTCAACCTTCTCAAACTCTATACATACTCTAAAGTACATGACGTTTATTTTGTTCCAAACTCAAAAACACATGAAACTTATTTTTTCAAAAGAAGTCTATATATGTCACTCTATAGGAAATTACTATAACGTGTAGGATATTACTATAACATTATGATTTGTTTAATCAAGAACTCATAATTAATCTGTTCGTCCAACAGTCCGATCTTCCAAATAAAAAAAGCTACAAAAGAAGAAGTCCGCTACGTAAAAAATACGAAAGTCATCGTTAGATGTTCAAATCCAATTTCCAATCCGAGTCAATCTATCGCCAGTGAAATATCCAGCTTCCCGTTTTCAAAGGCGACCCGCTGCTTTGCCATTCGATTTTTTGCTCAGAGCGTTTCATAAGTTTGCGAAATTAGCGGGGCTCTTCGCGCTCTCGATCTTCACAAAGAAGTCTTTTATTATCTTTGCGGGCCAACTCTCGACGGAATTTCTTCCGTATCGAAGCGTGACGAAAGACTCGATGAGACGTGAAAAAAGTGAAATCTCGGGACATATATGGATCGATTCGTCGTTGCTTTCGATTCCATTATCCGGAATGTCCTAACGTAAGCGGGTACTCACCATCGACGTGAAATAGAACTTCTCGAAGTCCCTCTCGTGAAGGCGGGCCGCTGTTAAATTCGTCGCAGAGTGTTGAGCGTGTTTCGACAGAATATCCTCGCCCTTTTTGCACAACCAGGATAATACCTGCAATTCAACAGGATAATCTTTTGTAAACCACTGCTGTATATACTGTATTTGTATATTCTGTTTTCAGTTGCAAATCGCTGACTGATCTCGGAAGAAGATGGCTTGGCAAGGAAATTGCTTACCAAAGCTTCATATCGTTCGCTAACTCTTCGCCTATCAGATCCCTATAACCGTGTCGCTTATCAATGGTCACCAATAAAAACTTTAAACATTTATTCGTACGTCGAGAAGGATAAAAGTATCCTCTACTCTATAGAAGAATCTAATCTTCATCTTCGGAAAAAGTTTCAGCTTGCTTATCGAAGTTTCACCGTGTGTGCACAAAGATTGCACGTTTTAATGCGCGATTATAGAGATTAACGCGACAGGACAGTGAGTAATTAGGGTCTGCCTTGATTCGTTAAATAATTAAGAACATATCGCAGCTGCTCCATGCTCGAGCGCGTACCGTCTGGTTATTTATGAACGCCGTGGTAGTCCGCAAGTGAAACGTTTCGAATACACAACACTCTATTTCATTTCACGTGTACTTACTCCTGCGTTCCAGCGATAAACACAGTTCTCGTATCAAATTCGAGTAATTTATTTACTGCCAGGGTGAAAGGATGTTTCTCGTTTTATCGCTTTCCTTTTATTACATACAGTTTATGTTAATGCTGGATGCTCTTACGTAACGAGGGTATTTCGGGAGGAAGGATGAGTAACTCCTTGTAAAGAGGTCAACGTTAATTTTTGGAGTTCTTCGAAATCTTATCAAATTCATTATTTTTATCTCTTATTCAAACAGAAAGTGTATATGTATATAGCACGTTGAAAATGTAGATGAAACTTTAAAATCATAGCTAGCAGAGTATTTAACAGAGAAATTTGTATAATGAGATCTATGTGACATCATTTTTGAATCACCCTGTAGAAGTACATTTTCATCTAGGCTCCTTGTAAAGAGATCAACGTTAATTTCTGGAGTTCTTTGAAATCTTATTAACTTCATTATTTTTATCGCTTATTTTATTGAAAATAGCTGGTTGAAAATATAGATGAAACTTCAAAATCATATCTAACAGAGAATTTAACAGAGAAATTTGTATAATGAGATCTATGTGACATCATTTATGAATCACTCTGTAGAAGAATATTTTCATCTAGGCTCCTTGTAAAGAGATCAACGTTAATTTCTGGAGTTTTTTGAAATCTTATTAACTTCATTATTTTTATCGCTTATTTTATTGAAAATAGCTGGTTGAAAATATAGATGAAACTTCAAAATCATATCTAACAGAGAATTTAACAGAGAAATTTGTATAATGAGATCTATGTGACATCATTTATGAATCACTCTGTAGAAGAATATTTTCATCTAGACTCCTTGTGAAGAGATCAATGTTAATTTTTCTAGTTTTTCAAAGTCTTATCAAGTTCATTATTTTATCGCTTATTTAAACTAAAAATAGTTCGTTGAAAATGTAGATGAAACTTCAAAATCATATCTAGCAGAGTATCTAACAGAGAAGTTTATATAACGTGACATTAATGTGACATCATTTGTGAATCACCCTATAGAAGTATATTTTCGTCTCCACAGGTTTCAAAGAACATTTCAGATTCCTCTCAAAACAATTTCTCAGAAAACGCTATCTAATGAACTGTCGACGGCAGCAACAGCTGACCCATTCAAAACAAGATTCGACCCTTTAGAGTCTCCCCTAACAGAGTACATAACCGTTCCCATGAACGAAAGAAAAAAAAAAAAATGAAAAACAACACGTCTGCGTACAAACACCGTAACTTTCCAACGTGGAAAATTAGATCCGTCAAGATGTCTTCGGTCATCATCCAACACCCGTTTTCCCGCCAAGATCCGCAAGAGTTCTGGATAATTAGATCGCTGCTACACGCGTGACACGCGTGATTAATGATTCGTCGTTGCGCACAGACGTGGCGGTCGGCGAAAAATACGCGAGAATAATTAACGGGGGCAGCCTGTGGAGAGGATGTTCATCCAGGAGAGACTCGACGTTTATCATCGTTGTACATGACGAGTGTGGTAGGAAGTTTTAGGGAAAGAGGAATGGGACAATTTTCTAATTTTTAGTTTTGAGGATTTAGAGATTTTTGGGGGATTAGGTGTCTGGAAATTTAAGAAATTGGGGCTTGGGGATTTGGGAGTTTGGGGATTTGAGAGTTTGGGGATTTGGGAGTTTGGGGATTTGAGAGTACTCCTTGTGAAGAGATCAATGTTAATTTTTCTAGTTTTTCAAAGTCTTATCAAGTTCATTATTTTATCGCTTATTTAAACTAAAAATAGTTCGTTGAAAATGTAGATGAAACTTCAAAATCATATCTAGCAGAGTATCTAACAGAGAAGTTTATATAACGTGACATTAATGTGACATCATTTGTGAATCACCCTATAGAAGTATATTTTCGTCTCCACAGGTTTCAAAGAACATTTCAGATTCCTCTCAAAACAATTTCTCAGAAAACGCTATCTAATGAACTGTCGACGGCAGCAACAGCTGACCCATTCAAAACAAGATTCGACCCTTTAGAGTCTCCCCTAACAGAGTACATAACCGTTCCCATGAACGAAAGAAAAAAAAAAAAATGAAAAACAACACGTCTGCGTACAAACACCGTAACTTTCCAACGTGGAAAATTAGATCCGTCAAGATGTCTTCGGTCATCATCCAACACCCGTTTTCCCGCCAAGATCCGCAAGAGTTCTGGATAATTAGATCGCTGCTACACGCGTGACACGCGTGATTAATGATTCGTCGTTGCGCACAGACGTGGCGGTCGGCGAAAAATACGCGAGAATAATTAACGGGGGCAGCCTGTGGAGAGGATGTTCATCCAGGAGAGACTCGACGTTTATCATCGTTGTACATGACGAGTGTGGTAGGAAGTTTTAGGGAAAGAGGAATGGGACAATTTTCTAATTTTTAGTTTTGAGGATTTAGAGATTTTTGGGGGATTAGGTGTCTGGAAATTTAAGAAATTGGGGCTTGGGGATTTGGGAGTTTGGGGATTTGGGAGTTTGGGGATTTGGGAGCTTGGAGATTTTGGAGCTTGGGGATTTGGGAGCTTGGGGATTTGGGAGTTTGGGGATTTGAGAGTTTGGGGATTTGGGAGTTTGGGGATTTGGGAGTTTGGGGATTTGGGAGTTTGGGGATTTGGGAGTTTGGGGATTTAGGAGTTTAGGGAGTTGGGAGTTTGGGGATTTGGGAGTTTGGGGATTTAGGAGTTTAGGGAGTTGGGAGTTTGGGGATTTGGGAGTTTGGGGATTTAGGAGCTTGGAGATTTGGGAGCTTGGGGATTTGGGAGTTTGGGGATTTGAGAGTTTGGGGATTTGGGAGTTTGGGGATTTGGGAGTTTGAGGATTTGGGAGTTTGGGAATTTGGAAGCTTGGAGATTTGGGAGTTTGAGAATTTGGGAATTTGAGTATTTGGGAGTTTGGGAATTTGGAAGCTTGGGGATTTAGGAGTTTGAAAATTTGGGAGTTTGGGGATTTGGGAGTTTGGGGATTTGGAAGTTTGGGGATTTGGGAGTTTGGGGATTTAGGAGTTTAGGGAGTTGGGAGTTTGGGGATTTGGGAGTTTACGGATTTGGGAGTTTAGGGATTTGGTAGTTTAGAGATTTGGGAGTTTAGGGATTTGGGAGTTTAGGTATTTGATAAGTTAGATACTTGGATTTCTAGAAAGGGGGTTTACAGATTTGGAGAATACAAAATTTGAAAATTTAGGAGTTTCAAAATCTAGGCACCTGCGGATTAAGGAATTTGGAGCTTTAAGATTTGGGGCTCAGAGATTCGGTGGCTCAGAGATTTGGAAATATCGTAATTCAGAATTTGTCAAACTTTAGAATATAAGGATTCGAGGTTTATGAACTTGAGAATGTCAAAATTTATAGACTTACTAACTTTACAATTTAAACATAAAAAATTTGATGACTTCAAAAGTCTATAACTTTAGAACTTCATAAATTGCAAACTTGAGTTTGCTAATTTAAAAGTATGCAAGTTCCCATATTTCATATATGAAAATCGCAAATATAGCGAGGTCCTCCCCTTTGTGAACTGTTATCCTTAAGATTGCCCCCGAGTGTCGATTGATCGAAGTACCCGAAAGAAGGGCCTCGAAAAGGGGAAATCGTGCTCGATCACGAAGCAAAACTGTGGTTTTTCGGGTCACTGGGCCGCGTGTTAGGTGGACGAGGAGCAGAGGCGGCGATGCGCAAGCGGGATTAATTCGCCGAGATTTGGCAGGTCGTTTGAAAAAGTGTGTCGGTAATTGCACGCGTCTGGGCACTCTTGGAACGTTATTAAAAGAGACGGATTGGCGAGCAGCGGGAACGATCGGCCGAGTAGAAAGTGTAACAAATGAGAACATTATCAACCGTTGGAAGGTTCAAATTGCCCTCGCCAATCTGCCGGTTCGGAACGATGCGTTTCCCGTTCGCGTTGTGAAACTTTTGTAAATAATCGCACCGATCATACGCTTAACCTAATGGGAGATTTAATTGCTTCCCAGCGACACACGGGGAAATTGAGATACCTGTCGTGGGTTTTGAGAACGTTAATTTTATTTTCTCAGCGTTATAGGTAGTTAGTTGGAATTTACTTTAAAATTACAACCCTTATTTTATATATAGATTACTCATTCGACGTTTAATATTACTAAGTACCTTGTATGCAATGTACCTTGATAGTATCCTCAATTTTAAACTTTGTATTATTCTAGAGATTCGCAATTTCTTGACACAAGTCAGGGGTTGCTACCCTCTGTAATATTCGCTCAGGTCAACCTCTCCCAAATAAAGCAGTCAATGTTTCGAGAGGCAGCCAAGTGCCTCCCAAGATTTTACGAGTTCCCAAGACACTTCTGTCCCAGATAGCATCTTCAGATTCTTTATGTACACCTTCCCCGAAACGCGAGTTACGACGCTCGTTTTATCGCCCCGCAATTGGAGGGACACCAAACCAGGAACACAATTTCGAA